ACAGATCCCCCCCTCCGGGGTCTCCTCAGAGGTGAATGAGCTGCAAACAGAGCCTCAGCTCCCACCTTCTCCTTGGGTGCCCACCCGTGCTGCTGCCTCTCCACGCCGACCCACCGATGCGCTGCCTCTTCTCCCGCACCGGGTCAAGGCTGCTGCTGTCAAGTCAATGAGGAGAGAGCTTTGAAATCTCCATTTATTGTTTTTTTTAGAAGCTGCAAGCTGGAAAAAAAAAACCATTGCAGGTTCTCAGGGCTGCTGGAGAGGGGAGGAAGACAGAGGGAGAAGATGTCTTTGGGAGATGGTTTTCATTACGGGGAGCTGTGCCCCTAGACTCAGCCCTGGTGTTTTGGGGTCCTGCTAGCACCAAGCTCCCAGCAGATTCCTGGCTCTGTGACCCACCGGAGAGATTTTTTTTCCCCAATCCTGCTAGCACTGAGCTCCCAGCAGGATCCTGGCTCTGTGACCCACTGGAGAGATTTTTTCCCCAGAGTTTTGTTTATTCTGGTCACAGTTTCCCAGCCCCAGTGTGAGGAGCTGGGTGTGCTGCTCCAGCCTGGCGTGGGGCTCAGCATGCTCCTCAGTGACACACCAGACGGGGGGAGTTTTCTGGGTAAAATGTTGTTATTTTGCCAATTGTAGCCAAATATTTTTGTCCATCATCTGCCACACAACAGGAGTATTCCAGAGAGGAGGCTACGGAGACCACGTGGCACTTGAAATAATACACGGCTGAAACCAGGGGTGCTCAAATCACTTTAGATTTAAAATGTAGAGTTTAACTCCAGCTCGAATCAGAATTAAATTTGAATTTCCACTGAGTTAGAAGTTGTTTTTAAAGAATATATAATTTGATTAGCAGATTGCTTTTATCCTACCTGCTCATCCATGCAATGAAATGCAGAGGAGTGAATTGTGGTCTTAAAACAACTATCCTGTTTAAGCCGCAGAGGCAGCAGTGGGAAGTTTAATTTAATTAGCATGATACTCAGAGATGTAAGTTAATCACATTAAGTATAGATCAACGTGCTCTCATTTAAGCTCTCCAGACTTCAGAAAACAGGGCCCGATTATCTCCCACCCATCTTTAAGCCAGGGAGAAGCAGAATTTTCCAAGGAAAAGGAAGCAGCAGGGCTTACGGAGAGCTTGTCCCTGTGCTTGTTTAAGCTAATTTCTCCCCAAAGGAAGGGAATATATTGGTAAAAGCTCCCACTCCCCCTATAGTGCCCTTGTTGCTGGGGAGAAAGAAGACAAGCAAATGACTTGCTGACCCTCTCAAATGCTCTAAGTGTTGCCAGCACCACCAGCCACCTGAAGGTCTCTGGGCTCGTTCTGCCGGTGTTAGCCTGGAGTCTTGCAGAGAGATTGACAGGACTGAAGATTGTACAAAACCACCACGGTTCATTAAAGGGACTTAAAATGATCTTCTTGCTCCTCCGGGCTTCCCTCTGCTGGTGCTGTGCATTTGAGTCAAGCTCACCAGGGTTGGTCATTGCTTCTTGGAGCTCCAGGAGGAGTGTGGGGTCCCCTCAGCATCACCCCTTGGCCTCATCCTGCCGGCACAACGTCGGGCAGGGGGGACCAGGCAGCTCTTATCAGAGCACAAAGGCTATGGAGGACCTGCCAGGTGCTGTAAAAGCTGCTTGGGCTCTTAGAATCATAGAACCATAGAATTGTCTAGGTTGGAAGGGACCTTTAGGATCATCTAGTCCAACCATCAACCTAACACTGACAAAAAAACCCACAACAAACCATCACTAACCACGTCACTAACCACTACTCTTCGTGGCCCTTAAAATAAGTGGGATTTGTTTCTTCATTGGGAAAAGTCCTAAAGGAGTTGTTTTGGCTCAGCTTGGACAGACCCTGATGGAAGTGCTAAACTGAACAATTCCTCATGTCCCCTGCCAGTCAAGAGGCAGCTCAATGTCTCCAACATCATTTTCACAACAGCGAAAGTGACAAGAGGGCAGGAGAAAACTCTCCTCCTGCCTGTCTGAGGCCAAGTTCAAAGCATTGCCAGGCAGCCTGGACTCTCCTGGCTGGCAGCTGCTCTTGATTTAAGCCAGACAAGTCCCATGCTGGGCTGGAGAAGCTTTACAGGTGACATGTGTGACACGTCCGTGCTGTGCCCTGGAACCTTTTCCCTTTCAGCATCCCCATGTGAGCAGAGCCACGGCTCTGTGTGCTCCCAGAGACAGCTCCGGGTCGGGGGAGCTGTCTCTGCCCTGGGTAGTTTGATTCCCTGCTCACATCTGATGGCCTCCGACATGGTGTTTTATGAGGCCACGACACCTTCATTATGCGTGTTTATTAGCCCATCTTAATTGCCCACTCAAGACTGTAAGACTCAGGTCATCACTAAATGGCAGGTGGGGCTGCAGAGCTTGGGAGGAGCTGAGTCCTGAGATGGCCTCCGACATGGTGTTTTATGAGGCCGCGACACCTTCATTATGCATGTTTATTAGCCTGTCTTAATTACCCGCTCAAGACTGTAGGACTCGCGGTCATCACTAAATGGCAGGTGGGGTTGCAGAGCCAGGGAGGACCTGAGTCCTGGCCGGCTGTGGGGGTCTCAGGTCAGTCCTGAGAAGCCCTGGGCTCCTGACTCTTGGTCCTTCTCCTCCGGCACCCCTTTTGGAGGGAGGGGACCCCATTCACAGGGCTCTCCATGGACAGACCCTTCTGGCACAGCAGAGATGCAATGGTGCCACCTGGTGAGACCGGGCAGCCGGGCTCCCTGCTCCCCCCCGAAGCCATGGGGAGCAGAGCCACAGCCCTAGGGACAAACCAGGCACCAGAGCCCCAACATGACACACCAAGTCCTGTGTCACTTGCAGGGGGGGCCAATCTGAGGCCGGGGGTGACTCCCCAGGGGTGAGATTGGCATCCTGAGGGTGACTGCAGACGGGAGTTGTGACCCCCCCACCAGTGGCACCCAGAGCTGCCCAGGCTGGATTCCCACAGATCCCAGAGTCATTCAGGGATCCACGTGGATCAGCATAATCCCAAACCCCCAAGCAACCCGGCCCTGTTGCTGAGGTTCAGTAACATTTACTCTGCCACCACCTCTGTTAACTGGGTATTTAGCAAGCAAATAAACAGTGAAAAGCAAACAGAGTACAAGGAAATAGGTTTTCTCCACAGCGGATATGGCACGGGTATTCTCCGTCCCCTCTGCCAGCGGTAAAGTACAGAAGGGGCCAAATTCTGATTAATCCTGAGTCCAGAGCTCCCTCCTTTTCTCCTGGGAGAGGGATGCCAAGTATGGGTGGCAGAGGGGAGCCATTGGGATGGATAGTTCCTGCCGTCTTCGGGGCCACCCAGCACCAGCATGGGGCTCAGGGGGTGGAGGACACAGCCCAGCTCCCAGTGCGGCAGCGGAGCCAGGGAGGGGGGACATGCTGGTGGGACTGGAAACTTGTAAGATGCCAGGACCTTCTCTGCTCTCTGTGCTGGGACTGAGTCTCTTCCCCAGCGATGGCAGTGAGGACCAGCCGTGGCCGTGCCGGTGGCTGGCAGCCACGTGCCAGTGTGCAGCATGGCCGGGTGCTGCTGCCCTCACGCTAATATGGTTTGTAGTTATTGGAAACTGGACTGCGAAGGAGCCGGGATCCTGTTTCTATGGAAATGTCCTGGAGCAGCAAACGAGGGAAGAGAAAAACAGAAGGCACGTTAATGGGAGCTGCCAGGCAGGGCTTGCTTTCTCTGAAGGGGCTGTGATTTCGATAGGAAGCCCCTCCTGTCAATAATATCTTCTCGGCTCATTGTCACCTTTCTGGCATGGAGGAGCCCCCGGGAGCGTACCACACACGGGATGGTGTGTGGCATCACGGACGTTGTCACTTTGCACCTCCCGGAGCTCCCAAACCCCCAGATGACATCAGACGCTGTGCACGCCCCAAAGTGGCTCCACATGCAGGGACACACCGAGGGCTGCCCCGTCCCCATGTCACCCAGCCCCTGGGGGGGTCGCCATCCTGGGGACTGCAGGGCACTTTGGCCCCAGGTCTGGGGGTGCTGAGACCTGGCTGGGGCAGGATGTGTGTGTGTGTGTTGGTTGGGGGTGCCTGGTGGTGGGGATACCCTGGGAGCTGGGGTCCTGGCTGCGGTCCCCACTGGGTGACTGAGCCTGGTTGGGATCCCGCCACTGAGGGGGGCCAGGCCCTGTTCAGCCCCACCTTGATGGCTGGGGCCTGAAATGGGGTCCCCCTCCGAGGGTCCATGCCCAATTGGTATCCCCCCTTGATGCCTTAGACCTGGTTGAGACCCCTTTAATGGCCGGGGCCTGGTTGGAGTCTCCTCCCTGAGGGTCTGTGCTCAGTTGGGGTCCCCCCTTAATGGCCGGGGCCTGGTTGAGGACCCCCCCTTGATGGCTGGGGCCTGGTTGAGGCCCCCCAAGGGCCCATGCTTGGCTGAAGTGCCCCTTGATGGCCGGGGCCTGGTTGGGGTGCCCCCACGGGGGTCCGTGCATGGTTCAGCCCCCCCCTTAATGGCCGGGGCCTGGCTGGAGTCTCCTCCCCGAGGGTCTGTGCTCAGTTGGGGTCCCCCCTTAATGGCCGGGGCCTGGTTGAGGACCCCCCCTTGATGGCTGGGGCCTGGTTGAGGCCCCCCAAGGGCCCATGCTTGGCTGAAGTGCCCCTTGATGGCCGGGGCCTGGTTGGGGTGCCCCCACGGGGGTCCGTGCATGGTTCAGCCCCCCCCTTAATGGCCGGGGCCTGGCTGGAGTCTCCTCCCCGAGGGTCTGTGCTCAGTTGGGGTCCCCCCTCAATGGCCGGGGCCTGGTTGAGGACCCCCCTTGATGGCCAGAGCCTGGTTGAGGACCCCCCCCTTGACGGTTGGGCCCTGGTTGAGGTGCCCCCACCGAGGGGTCCGTGCCGGGCTCAGGCCCTCCATTGGTGACCGGGGCCCGTGCGGGGTCGCCCCCCGAGGCCCGCCCGG